AACCCCATATAGGATAGACCCCAAAAGAAAATCACCAAGGCGTGTCATAATCACACTCGACAAAACCAAAGATAAAGAATCCTGAGAGCAGCTCGTGAAAAACAAGAAGTCTCATACTGAGGAGAAACAATAAGACTAAGCTCAGATTATTCGGCAGAAACCGAATAAATATATATATTTATATAAAACCTTGAAAGAAAAAAATTGCCAGCCAACAATAATATATCCTGCAAAACGTACCTTCAAATCTGATGGTGAAATTAGGACATTTCCAGATAAACAGAAATTAAGGGAATATGTAAAAACCAAACCAAACATACAAAAACTATTAAAGGGAGTCCTTCGATCTGAGAACAAACAACTTCATCTCACAGGCTGAATCTAGGATGCAGGATCGTACCAGCAATATACTAGTCTAGGAAATGAACTCTCAAGGACTATCCAAAACCAAAAGAAATACAATAGGGAATCAGAGCAGTTAATCTGTAAATGACCACAACATCAGAACAATAAAAGAGGGAATAAACGGTGTAGATATAGAACCTTCTAATGGAGAGGAAGGCAAGGCAATACCAAGTAATAATAGACTGCTTCAAACTTAGAAAGATCAGGGTAGATTTCACGGTAACCACAAAGAAAGTTAACAAACATACTCATAAAAATAAAGAGGAAAAACAAAGTCTCTGTAAAAATAAAACCTACAAAAGCAAAACAAGTAAAAAAAAATCCACAAACAAAAGGAATTCAGCACAAAAGAGTCAGAACAAAGAAAACGTCATCACTCCAAAAATAGCACTACAAAATGACAGCAATAAACTCACATCTATCAATAATTACACTAAATGTAAATGGCTTCAGTGCACCCATACAGAGACAGAGAGTGACAGAATGGATAAAAAAACAGAATGCATCAATATGCTGTCTACAAGAGACACACCTTAGGAACAAAGACGTGAATTTATTAAAAATCAAAGGTTGGGAAAAAAATATATCAAGCTAACAACTACCAAAAAAGAGCAGGAGTGGCAAT